TGTCTCCTGAGGGCGCCTGGGTCCCGGGCGGGTTGAGGAGGCGGCTCGGGTCTGCTCTCGGCCTGCCTGCGACGGAGATTCGCTGAAAGCAGGGTAAGTCACCGTGTTGTGTTGTGCCGCTTATGTTTCTGCCTTTACAGGCAGTGATCTTAAAGTGTGCTAGTAGTTGGGCTAATGTTTAATTTTAGTAAGCCTCTAGCCTTTGTTCCTTGGTAACCTTTGTACTGAATCTGAGAGGACTGGCGCTGCAGAACGCTCTGCAGAATTGGCTGTGGGTGCTGGGAGCCAGAAGTTTGTCTGTTTTCAGGTAGGCTAATGGTAGTTAAAGCAGCTGTGAGTGAACACTTCTGATTACAAAAGGTTTAGGGTTTATTAACCAAAGTCCAGGTGGAGAGGAGTTGTGAAGGCAGGATGATGCTGCACTTAACTGGTGTTTTGGCACTCTTGGAAGACTTTGCTTGTGTTTGTCACTGGGTCCGTCGGAGCGTATTTTGCTCTCATATTGTCTCTCTGCTTTGTCACTTCAGGATGATGCCGCTTTTCTTCAGACTAGGTTGAATAACTTTTCTCCCCAGTTCCCTGGGGAGAAAATTCATCTTTAGAATTAAGTCTCATCGTGCTACTTGATTTCTGAAATTACTGGCATATGTTAAGTACGACGATGCAGGTTCACAGATGGAATAAAGACCAACTGGGTAAACTGAGCAATGGAGATCTGCTGCTTCCAGTGCTTATTTAGTGGTAGCGCAGCCCTTAGAATCAACTCATGCATGAAGTTCAAAACATACAGACTACATACCTCCTGTAAAACTGTATAGTGCAGAAACAGTGGACACTTCACCTCTTACTTTGAGAAGCCTCAGGCAAGTGTTATGTCTTTACATTCCAAACAGACTCTGTAACATTAAAATAGCTGTTTGAGGACTAATTTCTTTGGAGACAGTTCTGACATTGGCCTTCCTCGCAGGGTGCTAGAACCAACTAGATCCATACCTTCTCTACATCCATGCAATGTGGCTACTGCAGACTGATTCTATGTCAAAAAGTCAACTTGTTAAATACTTCTAGATTGACTTGATAACTAAAAGTAGATCTTGAGCTGCTTTTCAAGAGTTATTTCTCAAGTCACATAAGTTCACTTATCACGGAATGCAAAACTGTTACTGGAGAACTTTCTCTAGAAAGAGGGACATAAAACAATGAATATGATAATATGATCTAAGGATGTGGGAAGTCTAGGTGTAATCTGTATGTCATCTTGTTTTCTTGTATGCACTGGGATTGCATTTATGCTCTGGCCTGTTAAATAGGTGTAGCATATTGTGCTTGTGGACTTTTGATGGTTCTGTTTTTTGCCAAAACATCCATTTATTGACTATCCGAGCCTGTACTCACTCCCTCCTTGTTAAAAAGCGCAGAATGCAGCAGTGCAAAACATACTGGTTGAGACATGGTGACAAATGAAGTAAAGACTTCTGTTGCCATTTGTATTTGAGATTACTTATCATCTGATCAGTATTCTAGCAAATAGCAGACAGCTCTAGTCTCTAGTGCAGATTACTTTATTAAAATATTTTGTAGCTAAATAGGTGAATGCAAATTTCTTCTTGAAATAATAAAAATTCTTATGTAAGTCCTTAAGCATTGTGATCAGGGATTTGTGGATTTACTTTTTTCACTGTAGCTTTTTTGAACTCCTTATTTACAGGGCTGTTGGATAAGTTTTCTTTCTAAATACTGGGCCAAAAGTTGTAACTCAGGCAGCTGTCAACTGAAGTTTGAAGATCTTAACCTCAAATATTGTGAGAAGCAGTCACCAACTTCTTGAAATACACTTCTAAGAAATGTGATATATCATGCAATAAACAGTTTGTAAATTGCAGCCTCTTAAAAAAAAATTAGACAAATACAGGGACAGTAGTGAACTCCATGAACTGTTAATATCAGGAAACTGATAGTAGTGTACATTTCTGTTAATTGTAGTAATGGTGGATGCTGGGTGAGTGTGGGGGGAATGGCAGAATGTTGCCAAGTTCACGTGTCTCATTCGGCACTACTTCATATTGCTATGGTCAGGGCTGGAATACTGCCTGAGCCAGTAGGCTATTTATTATGTAAATAGCCATCCTGTTCAAGTAAAAACTAATCTCATTTCCCTTGAAATATGAAGCATAGTCACTGCTTCAGAAAACAGGAAGTACTGTATGAATCGAGTAATACAGTGCTGTTGTCTAGCTATTAGTAGCTTAGTCTTCTATGAGATCTACTTTTCAGTGATAAATCAATGTCTGCATTTATTTACAGTTGAATTCTTCAGTTCTTTCCAGTCCGACAATACTAGGTCTTCAGGTTATAGCAGTTCACTTGCTATGTCCTCTGAGCAGGAGAAGGTGAGTTCAGGTTGAAGTCTGTGGCTTCTAGAACCTGTATGTCAATATTAAAACCTTGTGACAGCTTGTCAGGTAGCTTCTTATGGAGAATTACATTGAAACACAAGCAGTTTTGTATCTTTACAATTATGGAAATATGCATAAGTTTAATGTAGGCTGTTTAGTGTCAAACATTGCCTTCACAGTTTCAAGCTATGTCATTTTTATATGAACTTGAATTGAATGATGTTTCTCCATCTCCTTAAGAGGCTGATGAGCCTCTCTAGTAATTAAGAAACCTAATTGCATTTGGTAGTTTGTCCATAAACCACATTTAATAGCCTTTCAGGGACTGAATATCAATTTGCTTGAAAATGATTTAGGGAAGAATTGTTTCCTCCTGTGTCTCTAGTTAGCACCACAGATGGAAAGGGTTTCTAACTACTGGTATTTTTTTCTTCACTGTTTGAACAGCGATTGTTCTGTGTTTTGCTATGAAATCAGTATCTTGAGGCTTCAGAGCATCATAATGTAGGACTGAGAAAGGTATAATAAAGGGATGTTATGTGTTTAACTTGTTTGCTGTCTTGTGGTGATATTGCATTGTTATGAAGCTCGTGGCAGAAAAAACCCTATTTCTCTGTTTACAAAGGATTACTACATCTATTGGGAAATGACAGAAGCTCTTATGGCACAGCATTATTGCAGAGAGAGGGAAAAACTTTGGAGAAGATTCTTCTTTCTCATCTTATGGATGAGAGGTGGATGAAGGCGAAGTATGATCTGTGTCCAAAAGAAAAAGGATGGGAAACTAGCCCTTGAGTGGTGAGGTTACTTAGCCTTATGCTAGAATATATTAAACTTGGTTATGTTCTTCTGTTGCTTTAACTATAGCTACTAGTTCATTCAAAGTAGCAATGAAGTAGAGCAGTTATTGTTTAAAAGAGGTGCTGAAAGTAGCTCATAAAAAATTGTTTTATGTATGGACATATTGAAGTTAATTTCTCCTGCATGAGGATATTGTCCAAAGCATAGCTGGATAGGAGGACCTCAGGAGGAACAAATCCATGCATTAGGAAACGGTTGGACTTGTGTTAGAAGAGCTATCTCTGCAGAGTCCTGCATCTGACTGTTCTGATGGGTGTCTCTTTTGCATTGAGAGTTGAGACTTCAGAGAAGCTAGTGAACAAGGCTAAGCAAACTTCCTTTTATGCCAAGTAGTACTGAGTCTGGTGTTAATGCAAGTAGTTGCCTTCAGAGTAGTTGTTAATCATTGTGATAAGCCTCTGAAGCCGTACATTTACTTGTAGGACTGAGGTGACAAAACTGTTGTTGTATGTCTCTTCAAGCTACTCAGCCCTTTCTTTTGAAGGTATAGTACATGTGAAGGATGCTGATTCTAGCTGTCTGTTTCTGGCAAGCTTGGCTGTTGTTTCTCTCTGTAAATGAAATGTGATGTGGCTTATCCTCTCTGACCCCTTCCAGACTCTAGAAACTGTCTGGGTTGCTGTGTGGAAGTTCATTATGACCCTGTGGTCAGCATGTGTTACAGAACTGTAGATGTTTGGACATGTTCTTTGCAACACTATCGTTATAAATAAAGCTTTATCTTAAGTTCAGAAGCAAACACCAAGGAATGTGAATAATTACTAATTAGAATAGTTCTGAATGTGCAGTCTTAACTTCAGGAGCTTCAAGATGCAATATTGTGATAGAATTGGATAGACTCTGAAGCCAGTAGAGAGGTCTCATTGCTTACGGCTGATGAAAACATGATGATAGCAGTAACGGTATTTAGGCTTTTTCTGTGGGAAGTCAGGTATGAGGTTACATGTTTCTGTGGACGAAGAAATGTGATACACAACTAGAATTGATTACTGATATGAAGGCTGGCAAGTAGATTTTCTAGACTTCATACTGAATTGTACAAACACTGAAACTGGAGAGCTGAAATGAGAGAACGTTTGACTATTGGTCTTGTTCCAGTTAGCATACTTATATTGGCACATGACAGCATACTAGTGCAGTGCCATTTCCTCTTCTGCTTGCAGTATGTTCAGTCAGCATGCTGACTCTGCATGTTAATCACAAGTTCTAGGGAGCTCGAAACAGATGGGAAGTTTGTTTTAATATTTTTTAATGCTTCTGACCTGAGTGCCCTCTGGAAACACTTAGCTGTGTACCAGTTATTGGCTATTTCTATGCAGAAGAAAAGCAGCCCTAATGCAGAAGAAAAGCAGCCCTAAGACAAACACATCTGTGTTATCTCAGCTGCAGTCCTCAGCAATTACGTTGTTCCTTTTACCTCAGTAGACTATGAGCCTGAGTACTGAAAACCTTAATGAATGTTTTTTGGTGTAACAAGAAAACTTGATCACATTATCACAGTTCTTGGAAGAATCTTCAAGACCTATTAGCCCTCCCCTAGCTGGTGAGTCAGCTTCCCAAGGAGTCTCTCTCATGAAACAACTGCCTGCCTTCTGGAGATGAGAACTACATGTACTTAAAGGCTAGCCTCTCTTGAGTGTTGTAGCTATAAACCTGTGTCTTCAGTTTGATGGTCTGAACCTGCGAAATGCTCTCTGCTCTTCCAAGACAGCTTATTCAAGCTGTTAATGTCAATATGAGTTATAGACCCTGGCTTAGCTTTAGTTCCAGCGATGTTGAAACAAGGTGAACAGCTGCACCATGTGTTTGTAGTGCAGATGGGCTTAAACTGAAGGAGTGAAGTGTAAGCATGTTTTCTTTGTGGGCTTTAGTCTTCATAAACCTATTTAGTCGAACTGTTAATTGTAGCTGTAACTGCCCAGCTCAGTGTATGTATGTGCAGCAATCTCTACAGATCTGCTTTGAGGGAGCTTCCAGGCTGATGTGATGTGCAGGATAGCTGCAGTGAAGCAGACAGGTGCTGTTAGCTTTATGTGCCTCTCAAACCAGTTCTTTTTGGCTCCTGTAACTTGCAGAGGAGCAGCAATCGGACAAAGACATTTCTCAGATACAGGAGTCTATTTATAAAACACTAGGTTCTCATAACTGAAAAGCTAGGGTTTTTTAATTGGAACCTTCTTCTCCTGAAGCTAGTAACTTATGTTCCTGGAGACTAGTATCTTCCAAATTAGCTACTATGTTTGAACTGTTGGCTTTACAATCCTCTACCCAGTACAATTAATGATTGCTATTCAGGCCTCAGAGATAAGGACTGAAGTACTTGCCTAGGTCCCTGATAAAGGAGTATGAAGAGCTTCCTGTGTGCCATTAAAACTACTAATGTGAAACTGGGGCATACATAGCCACAAAGAAATAGAGGATACAGCAGCATAATGCTTTTAGTTTTAGGTGAGCAATCTTATTTAAGAAGGTGGTGCAAAATAACTTGATTTTCTGCTTACTATTGGGTGACTTTGGTACAGTCTCTTCTTTCATTGAAGTGTATTAACATGGTAGAAACACTTCTGTGTCATAAATTTATCTGTGGTAGCATTATTGGTGAGGCAAAGGTAGTAACATAACTTTTAATATGCAGGCAGATGTTATATAGCACTGTTCCAGAGAGGTGCCTTGCTGAGATTTAGCAGTTCTTGAAAATCTTGGTGTATTTTGCATAGTCTGGTGATTTAAGTAGTTTCACAAACTCAAATGGTTGTCTCAACTGACATGTTTCCTATGGCTGTGTTTTAATAAGAGGAAATTTTAGTGTTCTGTGGTAAAGGGTCCTACCTGATCCTGTTCCTGAGGCTCTACTGCCAGTGTCACTTCAGAGGGAATAATGCTGCAGCTGAATTAGGAAGCTATGGAATGTGTCATCACAGAAGGTAGCAGAAAGCTGACTTTGCTAGGAATGCAAACTATGTCCTTTGAGCTGATTAGGAATTAGGAGGTAATCAAACTAGGGTAAGAATTACTAAGTGTTGGCTGCAGGATTGTTAATCTTCCAGGTAGAGACTACAATAGTCATACTTCCTAACTTCTCAACAGCTGTCTAGTAGTCACCTTCTAAGACAGGGAGGAGAAAGTGGGAGTAATGTTAGAACATTGTCTAAAGCAGCTTCTCAGCAGTATCAGCTCTACTGTTTATCTAGTCTGAAGCACGACCTTATGGTGAAGAAATGACCTTGTATTACTGGTTCTGCAGGGTAGTGGCTCACTTGGTTTCTTGTGCCGATCAGGAAAAGTGCAGACATAAGGACATGACCCTGCAGGGAATTAAGGACAATGCTCATTTGCATCACTCTCACATTGGATACTTTAGTAAAGCTTTCCATACAAGTTACTGAAATCAATAAATCTGGCTGTTCTGTCTTTTCTCCAATGGCTAAACTACAGTCACTTCTTTACAGGTGCTGTTGATGGAGTGGTTAATGGAGATGTCTATCAGGTAAGACAGAAGTATTCTGTACTTAAAATGTGCTGTTCTATTCCAAGAACTTTACCTTAGTCTAGAGACTAATACTTCCCATTTCTTGTGACTAATGTGCTTTTATCTCGTCTCTGAAGAGGCTCTTCTATTCTGATAGCTTCTCATAGAGCTGTTAATGCTCTTAGTATGCCCCTCCTCTGAATTTACAAGCAACTTAAAGCAGCAGTCCATTTTGAATTACGGCTTAACAGGACATAACCACTGTAAGTAGAATAACAGGCTCTGTGGTATGACTTGCCACTAGGTAATAAAGCATGCTCTGACTACCTAGTTTAACGCAAAGTTTTCCCGAATTGCTTGTTCTTTAAGGATAATTCATTCATCCTGGTTGCCTTATCAAGATTGGTTTTAGAATTAGCTGACTGAAAACATTACACACTTAGTGACATAAAGTTGCATGAAATTAAGCTGCTGGCTAAATAGCTTAAACACAGTATGAAAGTGTGTTAGTCAGCCATGATAAGGACAAAAGGAGGAGATACTTGCTTTATTAGTGTCAGGAAGGAATGAGGCATGGCAAGGCAATCACTGTGTTGTAACTGAATTTCACACCAGTTTGACTAAGGCATTGTCCGAGCCTATCTGAGTTTGCTGAATAGCCCTGATTAAATGAATGTTTGGGAGGGGGGCAGCATATGAGCTACTTCTCCACAGAGTGTCAAGTGAACACTGAGCTTTGTGGAGTCACAGACAGCTTTCACTGCTGCTAACATTTTTATATCCTCACCATAGCTGTGACATTGATGGGAAAACTGTATCTTACTGACCCTTTGTGCTTCCTTATACAACAGAAAGAAGGTGAAATCACTAGTTTTTTTGTTCGCAATTCTGAGTGACCGGGTACTTTGGTTGATAGAGCTTTCTCTTAAAGAGGAATAACAGACTGAATTGGCTATATATAACTTTTGTTTTAGCTACCTGTAACTGGTTTGGCCCTGCAACTGGCCAATTTATTTTGTTTTGGATTGAATCTGAAGTCTGGTGCTGTTGCACCAACCTAGCTCCTTCTCTTGGCATTATTCCTCCATTGAGGGCTACAGGAGGTCCAAAGGAGGGACAAGACGCAGCCAAATCTGTCATTAGATGTAATCCACCTGGCACTGTCAGGAGCGGTATTTCTTAGGTCTGAGTAGGGTAAACCAATAAAAGGTGTTGGACTTGGAGTATCCTCTGTGGCAGATAGCACAATATTCATTAGCTTTGTGAATCTGGTATATTAATTCAAGTCTTTGAACTATTGTATAGTAAAAAGTATGCTAGCGCTCTCACTGTTTTGATGCTTAAATGCTGAAATGCCTCTTGTGTTCTAAGGTGCATACAGCAATGCAAATTCTGTAATGTCTTTAAAGGATGTTGGTTTTTAATATAAATTAAGTGCAAATATTGCTGAAGTAGACTTTTTTAACTCCTACGCACAAAACCATAAAAAAAAATTTCACAGCAAATATATAAGGTGAAATGAACTAGAGTATCTCTAGGCCTACAACTGTATAGTGAGGTGTTAGGTATTGTCTTCTCCTTTCTTCAGGCCATAGAGCTCTGTCACAGTTTGACTTCCCAGTCAACTTGAATTTTTGTTTGATCCCTGATTGCTAGAGGCAGTCCTGTATTAATTTTCTTCAATCCTGCTCTAATTTGTGGCAAGATGTTTTTCATATTAATGGTGGAAGTGTGATGTAACATCAGATGAACGTATTATGTACTCAGTTCAAATAAGAGCCGGATTTTATATAGCTTGCAGGCAGTTACCCGAAATATTCAGTTGTCATGTATCAATGACATTACTGTTCCTTCCCTTAAAGGAGAGTAATGGTTCAACAGACTCCTATGCTGCTATATCCCAAGTAGATCGACTGCAGTCAGAACCAGAGAGTATTCGTAAATGGAGAGAGGAGCAGAAGGAGCGCCTGGAGCAACTTGGTAAGAAGGGTGTTTATTGCACTAGTGTTCTTGCCTGTGAGTAACTTTGTGGCAGGTTTTTAAGCAGCAGAATTCTCAGCCACGGTGTCTGGCTCTTGGGAATCTAACATGCTTCTTGCATTTGAGCAGCATGTCTGGATGAGTCATCCAGTAAGCAGACTTATTACTGGTGTAGGAGTCGGCAAGCAAGTAGCTCTCTGAACCCTAAGAGTATTCATGTGGTCTGTCCTTTACTTACAAATAAGCTGACAAAAAATTAACAGCTTTTATCAACAGAAAAAAGTGAATAAATACTTCAGCCATCAGCACTTTTTTCAAAGCATAAAGACTGCTCATTTTGTAATTGATGGGGCCAGCTGTTGTCACACAGATCTTAATCTGATAGCTAAGTTAAGTAATGGACAAGTAACTGAACTAAATACAGCTATCAAATGCAGTGATACCTACCTGTGGACAGCTTCTGAGAGTCTAAAAACTGGTAAGTTTTGCACTTACATTAGAGGAGGCTTTGCTTGGAATTGTTATGACAGAACGTTGTGTACAGTGTGATTCTGCATAGATATGAGCCTGTTGCTCCTATTCTGGGCTAGTTACAGCAGATGAGCTTGTCTGGAACTGTAGGCTGGGAGTAAAAGCATGCTGAGTGCCAGGTTCCCTCACTTTATCTAAGAAAAGAGGCTTTACTGAGCTTTGTACTAGCACTAGTGTAGCAAGGTGACTGTTTCTGTTTTTGAACAGTTTGCAGGCGAACTGTTTTACTGAATCTGACTTAGTCTACAAATGCCTGTCCTAAACTGGACTGTCCCAGTTATGGAGCACAAGGCATTCTGTTTAGCTAATCCTCTGAATGTTGATGGTATTTAGAGTTCTCATGGCCTAAATCAGGAAATCTCCTAACACTTATCTGAGTAGACCCAGCAACTGTCTGCACTAGAGTGCACCCTGAGCCATGAGCTGAAATGTCACCAAGATCCAGCTGGACAAACATGACTGGCAAATCAATTCTTAAATCTTCAGATGCTAACTCACGAAAGCAGGAAGCAGAATGGAAAGAGAAAGCAATAAAGGAGTTGGAGGAGTGGTATGCAAGGCAAGATGAAAAGCTCCAGAAAACAAAAGCCAGCAACAGGTAAGGTTTCTCCAGCCATCTGTAAAGTTATGGTACTGGATGTGAAAGTAATGGGGGAGGGAGGTCAGAATACTTTTAGTATGTCCTAAGGCACTAGTCCTTCAGATCACTGAAGTAACCTCTCATACTAAGAAATAGGTCTCCAGTGGTAGACTATCTTCTTAAGTGTTCTTAGAATCTAGATTAAATGTCCAAGAATAGCAAAAGAAAGCATTAACATAATGAACTAGAATTACTGAAGATTCCTTAAGACCCAAGTTTGAACATGGCCGGGAAAAGTTTTAGTCTACCCACTTGTTTGCATTCTCCTAGCTGCACACGTCTTCAGTGACTGTAATTACCTACCTTGAGAATAGCAATCTTGCTATCTTTAGAACACGTGGAAGTGGCCTTCTAGTTAGTCTTTGCTACACGTTATTTCATTAGGTACATTAAAACTTTTGGCTGCTCCTTTTGGAAGTATTTGAGAAATGACCTGACTCAGTTCTGATAGTGAAGAACTAAATGCTGACTGTGTCCATGCTGGGTTTGAATTGTCTAATTATGGGCCCCTAGGCAGAAACTAATGACTTGGCTGCTAGCCTGCTAAGCTCTTACACTTTCTTAGAGGTTCCCTATGGAATTTTGACTTAACGTTATGTAAAGGTAGATGTGATAGTACTGACTCACTACCATTTAGATCTCTGCCTCTGATGTAGGGTTGCCAGTGTCATTCTGTCCAGGTCGTCATCAGGGCTGCTTTATACTTTGGGGACCTACAAACTTCAAGATTAACTGATTTTTTTGAAACGCCATTTTTCTTTTTCTGTTTTTAATCAAAGCGGCTAGCAGGTCTGTCCTAAGTAAGAGTCCTAGGCAGACTCTGCTTCTTAATAAAGGAAAAAAGGAGGCCTACAATTCCTACAGAATTATGCATTTGACACTTACATTCACTGAGGTACAGTCTTTTGGTTGGGCTGAGAAAGGGAAACAGGATTGGCACACTCACTCCTAGTTGGTGGCCAGAGCTCATGATACCCCCATACCTTTATTGTGGCCAGTATTTGAGTGCAGAGTATGCATTCTGGAGCAGGGTCCCTTTAACAAGTGTTGTGCAGAAGGAGTGTTTGGCATTCTCATCAGCTTGGGGAGATCTCTCTCCTAATGGTACCTTCTGTCCACTGGAAGCAGCTTACTGCTAACATTGGGACTCTAGTCCTAACCTAGCTGGTCCCAACTTCTAGGATGTAGCAAAGCTTTTGTGTTGCCCTTCCGAGTCAGTGGCTTAATTGATACATGCCATGTGGTAGCTGCTTTCCTGTTACAGTAAGTCTAGGTGATACAAGGTTAATGTGCTTGTTAAAACTGCCTTCAGCTGTGTTCCGTACTTCTCATCCTTATCTCTTTTCTCCTGCCTGCTTGCCTGCCTGTTGGACTACTTGCTACCTAGGGTGGCAGATGAAGCTTTCTACAAACAACCCTTCGCTGACGTGATTGGTTATGTGTATGTTGCTTAACTACTAACTCTGTTTGCTAGTCAGCTAGGTAATGAGGAGGATCAGAAATAGTGGCGAATGTCTCAAGGTGACTTCTGAATATTTCAGGGCAGTACGAGCTAATATGAGTAAACAGTCTTTACTTTTTGGACTGACTGATCTGCAGTATGAAATGCAGTTTTCCTGTGAGCATCCCATACACTGCACAATATCCAGCACTTTCAGATTAAGTCATGGAGCATACATACCACTGGAATTTTGGTAATGACTTTAGTAGTTGTTAGTTGTAGGGGTTTACAATTGTTTCCAGGCCAGTGAACACAGCTTAGCAAGATGCTTTGCTGGGTATGTGGGTTAGTGTCTGCAGTCTCATATGGGCGCTGTATTTAGTGGTAGTCACTTCCACAGAGCAGCACAATGTTTAATTCTGCATTAACTGTAATAGGCACTGAGCTCCTGATCTGTGCTGATTTGCGTACATAATCAGAAAGATATTCAAGCAGTGCTTGCACCTAAAGGTCCACAGGTGAAGGAGGGTAGAAAGGAATCACCTGCCATAATTCAGGGTAGAAGTGATGTGTGCATGTAGAAATAGGATGCTATTAGAGAACAAATGAGAAGTTCAAGAAGGTGGTATTGGAAAATCATTATTAGTGGCTGGGAGAACATTTAGGAGCAGCTCTGTGTAGACATTTTGCCAGCCTAATGGATCAATGAGAATACAGCCATTTCAAACACCAATTTGTATGCTAGTTTTCATGGGGTGAAAGGATTACAGTATTCATTTGCTTGTTCATGTATTTTAATTTCTTCCCTTAATTTGTAGACTTGAATTGAAAGATTGCCATGTCACAGATTCCAAGGTGGCACCTTTAGAAGGTGTATTGATGAGCCATGGTGTGGCTTTGAGTGTGTTAATGTTGAAGGTCCAGTGTGGAATTCATTACCTAACTGTAGGTGGATGTAAACCAAGACTTGTGAAATGATGGATTTACAGGTGGTGTTTGACTTTTGTGAAGTCTACTGGAGTTGATTTGGTAGATTTTTCCACTAAAACTCTTTTATTTTCACATGTCCAATGCAAATGTGCAGTATAAGTGCTGCAGAATAAAATTGGCAGCCTGTTTCCTGAATGTAGGCTAAGCTACTAGTGCATGTTCAGCCAGCTGATCATCTGCATTAAACTCATTCTCATTTTCTATATCTGACTTAAACTTTCTCTCCTTGTTTCTTTTCTTCTCTTCACCTTTAAGCACAAACATAAATCATCCTTGCTACAGCCTAGAACAGTTAAGTAAAAAAATCTTCACTGCCCCTTAAAAGTGTCATGTCACATAAAGTAGCAGTGTTGTAGTGACCCTTGTCTTCAGTGGTGTCTGTAACCTTACCATCCCTGTGAACAGTGCTGAACCCTCATGGGAGAGTCATCTTCACTGCTTTTTCTGTACTGCTTGTTGGAGTAGATGGATTTGGTTTGATCTCTTGATGCTTACTGCTCTTGCACTCGGGCAGCTACCAGGGCCTCACAGTTCATGTAAACTATATGCTGGAGTGTTATCCCTGCATTGAAGCAATGGTGTTGGCAGCATAGCAATGACAGAAGGATACAGCTGAGAAGCCACTGGCACTAACTTGTACATAATGGACAAAGCCTCCTTAGAGCCTCCTCAGGGTGAGAGCAGGGTAAATGTGTTTATCCTGTGAGCTGACCTCAGATGAAGTCATCTCCTCTGCCAAGATCTGCTTTAGTCTATAGCACCCAGAAGCATGGGATTCATGACTTAAATTCCCATTGATTCATGCTGCTTCACTACAGCACTGGAAATAGTCAGCAGATGGTTTTATGATGGCCTGTAGGCCTTGGAGCTGATTTAAATCCTCAAATGGAATCTGTTTTAAGACATGCTCGCAGGGAGTTGTAAATTTCCAGTTGGCAAATGTCCAGTATAAGCCATGAGGTGGCAGAGACTTAACCTAGTTAAGACTCGGGCATTTATCCATAAAATGCCTACGTAGGAGTAACTTCCTGGCAGTTTGTGTGGTGACTCCATAGGCAAAGACTCAATAACTATTCTTAAAACCAAACACCTGTATTCCAACATTTTACACAGCAATCCTCTGCACTGCTTGTGCATACCATACTACAGCAACCTACTTTCATCTCCAGGGTTGGGGCAGTGGGGGCTCAAGTAGCCATAATGTCCACAAGCAGCTGTCAGGTCACATTTCTTATGAAACATGCTGAAAGAAACTGCATCCTGTAAGAGGGAAGGAGTGACTTATATGTTGGGCATTAACACAAGGTGCATTGCATTGCTTTTAGGGCAGCTGAAGAAGCCTTTGTGAATGATGCAGAAGACATTTTTCCAGGCACTGAGTGGGAACGTGTGGCTCAGCTCTGTGACTTTAATCCCAAGTCTAGTAAGCAGGCAAAAGATGTGTCCCGCATGCGTTCAGTCCTCATCTCACTCAAGCAGGCTCCGCTGGTTCGCTGAAGAAAAGCACAATGAAAGCACTACAAATGCAATATCTTAACCTTACTCAGAGGAGCTGTTTGCAGTAACTGGATTAATTGTTTCAATGTTTTTTTGGACCAAACCTCATGCTGTATCTAGAACTGATCATTGTTTGATTGCATGTTCTTCCTCATGTTTCCTTTCTGTGTCTGAAATGGGAGAACCTCCAAAACTGTAGTCTCTGTGCTATTGTGCACTGAGATATTACTTCCCACATTACTGATATTAAAGATCTATTAAACAGCAAAATGTGTTGGCTTTGGTTGAACTAAGGTCTCCTGCTCCCTTTTGGCAGGGATGTTTTAATTGAGTGTGAGCAAACATTTTTCTTAATTGTGACTGACCAGCCAGAAATGCTCCTGGTATCTGAGAGGCTGTCCTGGTTATCTCTGTAACCTTTCTCAAAGCTCTTGAGAGCTTTAGTTTAAAAACTGCTTCCCTATCCAATTTATCACACAAGATAGAAGTGCTAGGAAACTGGAGCGGCAGGCTTGTTAAGGAGCTTATCTCACTTCTAGCAGAACTGAGGACACCACCTTCTGCAGGTAAGCAGTTCTGTGTAGTTTTCTGCTGTCACTTCAGCTGCAGATCTTAGCCTGGAAATAAGGTACAGGGCACTGAGTAGTTAAAGCCTTTGATATTCTACTGCGTATTCTATACTGCCTTACTCAATGCTGGCTTCATATTCAAAGTCCTGTTGTGTGGAGGCTGTTTGGGTGTTTTTGAACTGTGTCCCTACTGACTCTAGCAGACGCTTTCTCCCACCAGGGTGGTGGACTGGATATTTGGAGAGCAACAGAAAGGAAGACTTGCTCTTACTGCTGCTCATCTACTGGGTTGGAACTCTGTCTGCCACGGTGTTTGAAACAAACTGATCCAGAACTGTGTTCTGCTGCTTCCTTGGCTCTCTAATCTCACCCAGCATTCACAAGAGCTGTATCCTAGCCTTGCTCTGGTGAGACTTACTGTAGCGGTATATCTAGAAAGATAGCTAGATTTTGTAGATTCTCTCTTCTGCCTTAATTTTATCTTCAAGTATGCTAGCTCACTGCCTCCCTCCTACCTCCTGTATCAGTGCTGTCATCGAATCACAGAATGGCTGAGGTTGGAAGGGCCTTCTGGAGGTTATCTTGTCCAGCCCCCCTCTCTAGCAGGGCCATGTAGAGCTGGGTGCCTAGGACCATGTCCAGATGGCTCTTGAAGATCTCTCGGGAGGGAGACTCCCCACCTCTCTGGGCAACCTGTGCCAGTGCTTGGCTACCTTCACAGTGAAAAACTGTTTCCTGATGTTCAGAGAGAACCATCTGTGCTTCAGTCTATGCCTGTTGTCTCTTGTCCTGTCACTGAAGAGAGCCTGGCTCTGTTTGTGTTTCATCCACTCCAGGTATTTGTACACATTGATGAGGTCCCTTCCTGAGCCTTCTCTTCTCCATGCTGAACAGTCACAGCTCTTAGCCTTTTGTTGTAGGACAGAAGGTCTAGTTGCTTAATCATCTTTGGGGCCTTTTGTACTGGGGAGCCTGGAACTGGACCCAGCACTTCTGGTGTGGCCTCCCCAGTCAAGTGGTGTTACTAGTGCTCTGCTCAGACTTTCTGTGTCTGAGAATTATTTTAGATACTTTGGGCCCTGTGACACTGACCAAAAGAATACTCAGCATTATTTGGGCAAATCTAAGCCCTTGTCTGTGCTTCTGAACACTGACTTGTTTCCTTCAGAGGTCAGCATCTGTCACTTTTTGTGACTTCACGTGACAATTCTGTGCTACCTCTGGTCTAGTTGAGTGTAGTCATTCCTCTTTTTGGTGGCCTTAATTTCCCACTGTTGCTACTTATCTCCACAGCATATAGCTGATGCAGAAAACTGAGTCAGTCAGTGGAATCTGGAAAAAAAAACTGGACACTTCTTACCCTTCAAGCAAATCTGGAGGTGCATGTGCACAAAGATCTCATGCAACATTGAATTTGCTTTGTTTACCTTGTGATTGGGTGGCAGCCAGCACCCAGCCTGTCTGAAATGATACTGAGCATTTGTAGAGGAGGAAGCTGGAGTGGTCATGGGTTCACGAGGAAGCAGGGAGCCTGAAAATGATGGTGCTACACCTTCATCCTTCTAGCCTGAGGAACATGGGCTACAGTTTTGGGTAGCCATAAACCAACATGCTATGGCTTGCCTGTTTCTTGCTGATTTTTTTTTTCTGAGCAGCTAAGAAAGAGGGAAATGTATAATTTACTGGCTTGTATTTTAGAATGGACAAGGTGGGTGTCTGTTGTCTTTGCCAAAAGAGGATTCCTTCGTTAGTACCGGTCCTTGCGGCAAGCTTGTTCCTGCATAGAATGGTTGCGCTGCAACAGTATGCTGTGGTACTGGGCAGTAGTGTGCCTGGGGCTGCAGCAGATCTTTGGGATCCTCAGATGTTCCAAGGTTACTGACAACCCAGGCGTTTGTGGTCCGACTTGGTAGGGGATGGTCCATTTTAGTGTTTGGTATGTTCTAGTCTTAAGAAAGGAAGGGCTGCTCCCCACTGTTCATCAAGGGAGTGATTAGTTAGATCTTGCATCAGTAATGCAATTTTCACTGACAATTATGTACGATTGCAGTGTTGCAATGCTGTTGGCTGCAGCTACAAGCACACATTTAGTCTTTAGATTTGTGTGGCTGTTTACTGGTCACAGCTGGTTACCATGTGCGGAAATTTTACCTGGCTCAAGGCATGAGGTATGGATGAGGTAAAATCTTACTAGCTTTCTAAGAAGTGCTATATCCATACCTACCAGAGAGTTGTGAAATAGCAATTAAAAGAATCTTTAGGGAAAAATCAGGGTATTTCTTCAAACTTTAACCTTAAATAGAGTCTTCATACACTTTTTGTTTGTAAGCACAAATTTGACACTTTTTGCATTTAAAATTTGTCATGTTTCATACAAAAAAAGCTGAAAGATGTAGTATCTGGAACACTTGAAGATACAGAGGTACAGCAATGGTGGTCTAATAGTAAAAGAAAGGCAGAACTGATGTGGAGATGTGTTTTATCTTTTAAACTAGTGGGGAATAATGTGTGCTTTCAAGCATGCAAAGCTTTCTTCAGCAAGTAGTAACAGCCTAACAGCAATCTGTGATTTGTTAAGGATACAACTGATAACTGTGTAAGGTCAGGAGGGCTGAGAACCCAAAAGCTTCACTCAGTTATGACAGCAGCAGAAAGAACTTCCTGTATTGGTATTCTCATGGCCTTGCTCAGTCTCAGTCTTCATCTTGTTTTGTGTGAACTTGCCAAACGAACCAACCCAGAAGTGCCACAACTGTTTAAGCAAGGCTGTCTCCTCTAGAATCTCACGAGCATTTTTAGTTGTTACTAAAATACATTATGTGCCCACAGTGCCAAGAATCTGCTTTCAGATTATGAAGCAAATATAGCTTGGTGCCAGACTAAAAGAACTGTACTAAATACAAGGTTTTAGCACCTACACTTCAGCTGCCAAAGCACTATTTCTAATGTGCCTTTGATAAACCATTTTACAAGTAGAGTTATCTGGAATGGTCCAGGGGTTGTACAGTCCAGGTGTTTTACCCTTACTAATGCCTGTGAATTCTCCACAGCATTTGAAAGGGACACAGCAAGCAGATTTCACTTGATGCAGACTGAATCAAGGAGTATAAACTCCACCTGCTCTTTACTGTCTGTGATGTGTTTTTGTGATACAAACTTGACATTGCCTCCATTGGTAATATGTCCAAGTTTCTGACAATTTTGATACACTTAAATGGAGGAAGGACAGTGCTTCAAGACCACCAGAAGGCTGAGGCATTTGTTAATTCTGAGTGTCTAGATGGCAGATCCAAGACTCAAAATACTGAATAACTGAACTTGCTACTCAGGAGACTAAAATGAAATTCCAAACCTTGGTGCTGTACTGATTAGCTATGGGGCTTGCAAAGCATCAGTAATGATCTGTAAAAAGACAGCTAGCAAAACTCAGCTGGCCTCCTCATGGTCCCAAGTCCTGGCTGGTTTGGTTTCTATGCTTACACAGAGCTGTTGTGGGCAAAGCTGTCTTTTTCCACCAGATGTAAGGATATGCAATGCGGTATAGGGAGTGGTAGAGGTCTTACAATTACAAGCTACAGCACTAAGAACTCCAGTTTTAAATCATGTTCCAGCCTTTTGGCACTCTGCTGTTCAAGTATTGCTGGTGCTTGCTCATTGCAATGCTGATTGATTATAAACAAGAACATCCACGAGGAGTCTCTTCCTGCCCAAACTTTTGAGTGTCATGCAGTTCTGCTTAGAAGACTTGGACAGTGGAATCCCTGCTAAGGCTTCAGCAGTTAGGATATAGAACATGCTTACCATACACACTGCAAAACCCAATCTCCTACTCCAGCAAGTAGTATGAGCAGATGCTGCCAATGCAGGTGACGAGAAGGCACTGCTCCTTTAGGCTCTGAAATGCTGATAATAGCTGGGGAAAGAGGTCAGCTGTTGTCATGTGCTTTCGCTCCCCTTCTTCCCTCCCAGTAACAGATAACAAGGCTGGTTTGCCATCACTGGAGCCCATGACTTTCACGGTATGGGCTGCTCTGAAGGACACGGGGCCAGCATGAAGTAACCAGATAGCACAGTACTGCAGATGTTCTGTGAACATCTGATGTTTGCTCCCCCTGGGATTGGATACAACTGGGAGCTAGTGTCCATAAAACCTCTGGTCCACCATAAAGAACCTGAAGTGCAATGGAGGTTTCTGAACAGGGGAGGAAGAAGAAAAAAACAAATAAAATCACTATTATGCTATTAATTTTTTTAAAAAATTTATTTTATAAACCCACAAACTTCTCAGGGAAAACTGCAAGGACTTCTGTACCACTTGCACGTATGTAGCAGGTTCTTGTCCAGTTGACAGAAAAAACATTTTCAAAAACGTTTGAAGAACCGTTTTCTTAACAGGACTAGACGTTAAAGGTGTTCAGAATAAAACTTTTCAAGTGTGTTTTAGTCTTTCATGTTTTCTTTATGCCTGCATCCACCTTTCAGCTGCTAGGGAAAAACATATCTGGAGTCCAAAACATCAAAAATGTAGAGCTTAAGGAGGTCTGGAAAGCAAAAGCGTGGTCCCACTTTTGGTCAGGCATTCCTTTTCCTGGTGCTGCTAGATGATGGGAAGATCAAATGACGGGGCTCCTCTCTGTTAGAACCTCAAAACTGTTACTCCTGACCTGAGCTACTATCACTGTAGAGCACAACCAGTTTTTCCTTGACCTGCTCATGGGGCTACTGCTCTGGTATTGACTTTAGTGGGAATCACCAAGTAAACCAAGCCACACAGGAAAAGGAACTAAGAACCCCTGGTGACATAAAGCCTATTACAACTTTGCAAATGGTTAAGAGACAGTATTTGCTGGTTCTGAGTAAAACTATGGTAGAGAGAATTTATGCGCAATTATTCCTGGACACATCAGGAAGGAGATCTGATGGTGTTTCTTAAATCTGCTATGGAGATGCGAGTTCTCAATAATCATTCCTTGCGGAAGGGAGGATGAAGTGAAGGCAAATTGTGTAGATTACGTCCCAGAATTAGCCAGTAGAGTGATTCACTATACGGACAGCTATTCAGTCCAAGATTATTGTACAGCAGAGGGCAATAGTTGCATAAGGTTGTTTCATTTTGGTTGGAGCAGTTCGAGTGTGGAAATAGCCCCTTTTATTCCCCTGTACTAGTACATTACTGGGTTCCTGAGAGTATCATCAGCGGCTGAATTAGATGTCAAAATAGGCCATTAAATGCAGGTCAGAGGATGGTCTTGTGAATTCCTACACAGGTAATCTTCTTTCTGAGACAGCTGATCAGTTAAATGGGTTTGTTTTGTCTGTTTTTCAGTTTCTCCTTCTGTCAGATAGTTATTACTACAGTGTCTTGAAAATGTGCTAAAAAGCAGCTCGACAAAGTATCAAGAACTAGTTAAAGACATAAACCATGGTTTAGCTAGGCAAGCCTTCACTGGTATTTGACATACTTTGGTTGCAGGCTTTTGAATGTGTAGAAGGCGAGGATGAGGCTCAAGATCTGACTTTCCATCCTGTGAACTGATGGTAAATGCAGGTCAAGAACAGTGTACCTGCAGCCGCCAGAACTGCTGAGGAGATGCACTATGTCACTCTGTAGTGAACAGTTTTCTTGAAAGGTAGAGTTCTTATGATCAGATCTGTCACACAGCTGAATTTCAGCTAACTGGCTACCAAAGAATAGAGTCCCTTCTCTGCTAACTTGGCAAACAAAGTAGTAGACTAAGTCCCTTGAGAAAACCCCAAACAATAAAATTCAAGTAATTTACTGTTGACCATAGCCAGAACACAAAGATGCTTACTGCTACGCTTGTCAGTTTATTTGGACTGCTCTGCAGGCTGTAAGCTCACTAGACCACAGTCTTCATATGCAAAACTTCTAAAGGTGATATAAAAAAGGACTGCCTCCACCATGTCCTTCAGGAACCACAATTTCTAGATGCTGCCTTTCTGTTGGTAGAGGCAACTTCCCTCGTTTCCAGACACTGAAATGACTACCTGCTATTGGCAGCTACATCATATTTACTTTGTGGGTGGACGCCTGGAAACTGAAAAGCTGGTCACATTGTATACTTCTCATTTCACATAGGTGGGAAATGAGATATGGATCCCCAAGTGTTAACTATAATTTGACACACCATACACATTCTCCCCACCATACATCAAGATAGGCTAATAAACAATTCAGCTACACTTAAAGCAACATATGGACTTACCAACAGAGGTGATTAAGAACAACAGAATTGCACATTAATTCCTATGGAGTCAAGACAAAATACAGGAAAAATACAAAAAAGATAATACCTAAGTTAGGAAATGCTGAAGTAGTCACTAACTATTTAGAACACTACTCTGATTCAGTAGCTGCTCTTATCAAAGAAAAATTTTGGGCAAAGTATTCCCTCCACCCATTAAGAATCTGAATATGCTATAGCTATAATGCTTCTGCATACCTAGTATATTCTACGTGTAGTATAATCCAGTACCAGGCTAGCAGCTCCAAGAAGAGCAGGATCTGCTAGATTTGAGACCACCACATCCACAGTTTTAACAGAGGCCAAAGCCTGTCGATTTATCACATCTTTGACAGCATTAACATAGTGGCTAGCTAGAACTCCAGAAAGGATCACAAGAGAGGGGTTCATGGTGTGCAGAATGTTCACAACTCCAAGGCCTAATGCTGTCCCAGCTGAAAAGATAAAGTAAAAGGAAATTAAAAAAAGCAGTCCAGGCATCAGGAGTTGAAACTGGTCTGTTAGCAGCAAATAACACTGCCAGGGAAGTGTTCTATTCCATAGGGTACACAGTTTTGAGTTTATGTTCTCAGACAATACGAGTTTTACTTTTGAAAGAAAAATTAATGGCAAAGAAAAAAAGGCAATTTTATTGCACAATAATGCATTATCCAATGATACATATGTGAAAGACAAAACAATGCATTACCACACTTGTAAGCTAAAAGAAAATAGGAAAGCATTACTCTACCAGTGTAATGCTATCAGCTATGTATGAGAAAGAGGACTGTTTAAAGCTAGTAAAACAGTAAAATATTCCATGTAAAGTAATATGTAAATTCCCTTTGCTTACTCAGACTAGCTGTTCACCTGTCTACAATGAAATGTCCCCAAATTTTCCAATGTGAGAATGCTGAGACGTCACTTTTTTTAAGCTGATCTTTGCAGAAGCTTTTAATCTTCTCATTTATTGGAATAGAGACTTTTAATACATGCTTCTGCTCACATTCCTCCAACATTTATATTTAACATTTCATGACCATTAGTAATTCTTATGTAGAGATGGCCTCAATGTGCAGACCTGTGTTTGTAGTGTTACAGTGCATTACCATTTCTGTATCCCCAAAAATGTAACCACGAGAGGGTTCCACCCTCTGGTCTATGTTCTCACCTGTTCTGAGAATGCTGTCTGCTTTTGTGTTCCCAAGTTTAGCTGCTTGAATGAGATGTGCAGCACTAACAACCTCCTCCTTCTTCATTGACATTCCTTCTACTAAAAGCAGATCCTCTGTTTGAAGAGCAGGAGAGAAAGAGGGAAAACATGGTGGTGGTGAGTCAAGAAATGGAGGGTGACAAACAGGCAGCTAAGATCTTTACATCTCTTTTACTTGCATACTGAAACCTGAATCCTGAGCAATCTGTCCAACTCTGAGTTCAGCCAAAGCGGTCATATCCGTATTATTCAGGGACCTACTTGTAGGCATCAAAGTCAAACAGTTATGGTAATTTGCTAGTCTTGTCATTCCTGAAAGTTAATAAAATAAAATACAAATGTTCTCAAACTTATTTAAGACTAAGAAGCTATTGCTGAAAGACAGTCACTGTGAAACCAAACCTCACAGAATGCCTGTCAGATTACTTTACAGCATGCTTAAAAGGGAGAGACTAAACTCTACTACACGCTCCTGGTAATTGTGAGACCAGTGGTTCCAAATTTGGCTTGCCTGCGTATTGCCATCACTGAAAAAGAACTGTATTGTGCTACGCAGGTTGTGGCAGCTCCTGGGTTGGCCATGCACAGGAATCCTGTCTGGTTGCCTGTACACCTATTCTCGTCTCTTCCTAGAAAAAGATGGCAGGTCTGTTTTTCTTAATATCATCCTTGCAAATTTCTTCCTATTCCGCAATTTAGTAATGAAGTTTTCAAAAAATAAAGTACATAGATACCATCATGCAGTTTCTTAGCTTCTCTCTGTAATGCTATTCCAGAGGCATATGCTTCTATACATCCTTGACTACCACAGAGGCACTCTGGTCCATCTAAAGATACAACAATATGCCCAAGCTCAGCAGCACAGAAAGAACTGCCGTGGATCAATTCGTGTTGATGAATGATTCCAAAAAAAAAAAAGTACAGTTTTGAAAGGTCACAATTCTGCAGGACATTTATCTTGTCTGTATTAGAATAAGCAAATGTCAAATATGTGCATCAGTGGTCTTTTATACTGGAAACTAAAAATTACTGGTTATTGAAGAACTCTTCTCTGTTCGACACACCTAATAAGCAAACTCACAGCTACCTCCTATTTATGTATGTATCAAAATGCTATATAATGCTTCTCCTTTCTTAAAAAGCCTATGGATGGTACTGAACTACTGTGACAGGTCATTTAAGCTTGTGAGTTATGCTCTTTATGCACAAAACTAACCTTTCACAGAGCTTAAAATTTTGCATTTCAGAGGAGATGTTTTAATGCTGTATTTAGACGGCTAAACCTGTGTGCTGAAGAGCCAGGACAGTTAAATTTGCAATCCTCTGCTGCCCCATCCCAAACCTTGGGAGGAGGATACATCAGCTAGTTATTACTTGCAACATTCTAAAGGACTATATACTTAACAAATAAGAAAAGCTACCCCATATTTGCATTTGAGATATAATAAGCATAATCACTCATATTCAGTTGCTTATCTTCTAGGTACATATCCTGATCGGACTTGTATTTCTGCAGCTGGAAGAGAATTAAGCTGTAGGACTGAAAAAAAGCAAAATTACTCTAGCTACAGTTGCTCAGATTTTCCTTGTTTTGAAAAAAATCGTTGGCTTGCATAGCTGTACCAGCAGACCTTCTTTTATCAAGAAGGTTATACTATGCAAAAGGTTTCACTTGACTGAATAAATTAAAAAGTACTTTAAAAGAAACAAATATATATAGTGGCAAAAGGATTTTTGTTTTAAGAACCTAATATATTAGGGTTTTCCAGTTACGGTGGTGGTGTTTATGCTTTTAAGATCAGCTAAGCCTCTTGAGTGATGGTACTTGTATTCTGACTTTGGGTTTCACTGAACTATAACATACCCACCTGTACCAGTAATGAGTGTTACAAAATTTTCTACTCCTTTTCCATGACCAAATTTCCTCTCTGCTAGAGCAGCACAGTTTCCATCATTGTCCACCCAGACTGGCAGGTGCAAAGCATCAGATATTGGAGTTCTGAGATCCACGGAACTCCACTCCTGAATGAGTTTTGTAGAGTGAAGCACAATTCCTTCTCGGGGATTTACCCGTCCACCTGTGGAAATACCTGTCCCAAAAATATACAAGAGAAAAATCAAAACTAAGTCTGTGTAATACTTTAAGTAAAAGATCTATTTTTCTCTTTGCAATGACAAGTATTTTTATTCTAATACTAGGCTTTGAAGCAGAGTGTGAAAGTAAAAATTTCTAAGTATTACTGGCAGTGTGATTTCTGACATCTAAAGATAATTCACAGAACTCCATTGCTGTAATCATGATGCACCCAGTATCTTAAGACTAACTAGATGGTAATGGTTTGTGTTAAGAGAGTTAATGTCCCTACTTCAGACAAGACAGCAGCAAAGTGCTTAATACCTGTGTTTCTTTTTAGTCATGTATGAAAGAGATGCAATAGCAAACTCTTCATCCTCTTTTCTCTACTGTCAGGTCCAGAAAGATAACTTAAATACTACCTAATAGCAGTAAATAGATAGCTCTCACAAGTACCTCTGTGCCACATTTGTATATAGATCTAGGTCTCATTTGGTTTAAAATTTGTGTTTTGTAAAAGTGGGGGAAAAAAAAATACTCTGTAACAACTTCTAGTGTTCTTTGGGCCTGATAGTCTTTACTTTCCTGCTCATTTTCATAAAGATGTTTTTAATATAAATGCTTTGAGTGAAAAAAAACACCAAAAATAACAAAATTGAAACTAACTGCAGAGCTGTTGCAGTCTAGACTTATTTGATCATCAAGACAAAAGATGCTGAAAATTATGATTTTTTTCTCAGAGTCCTACTTTTTAAATCACTCTGCAAACCTGTTTATTAGTGGGAGTTCTTCAATTGAAGTTACGCTCATGTAGCTAGTATTTTGAGTGCTGACAGCAGCTATATGCTAAAACTAAAACTTTTTGTCATTGCTGTTAGTAGCCGTTTCTCCTTATTCACTTCCAATGGTTATTACTTGTTACCCTTACCTATGATAGCTGGAAGAAGGCCAGTGTTACTGATAAAATGTCCAGGATTAAGTCTAGCCCTTCTGCTTAAGTCTTGCAAAAATTTCTCCAAAGGTATAGGAGCTTTCCATCTTATGATTATGAGCCTTAAGGAAATGAATAGAATCTAATACATTTATTATTCCCATAGGAATTGTATATCATTGTCTAAATAGAACTTTCAATTTCAGCTAGTATTCCGATTCAAACTGTGAGTCTGAATGAGGCAAAGAGCAGCTAACAAAAATAGCCAGGTAAGAAATTTCTTACTCTGTAGCACAACTTTTCCCCTCATTACTCAGTAACTGAACAGTAAGCAATCAGTCACAGAAGGAAGGCAGCTGAAGAATAAATAGGAATGTAATTCTTGTAAAATGACAAACAAAAGGAAAGTTTCTTCCCCATATGTAAACCTCTGTAAACCAGTTTATGGTTTCATTACCCTAATAAACATAGCTGACTGCAAACTGTTCCTACATATTTGCAATACTGACTACTGCAGAGTTTACGATGTCTTCTACAAGAACTATGAGGCTTTCAGGATTTAGCATTTGGACACAATAAAAAAATATGGGTGGTTAAGTAATGTGTATTAACCAACAGATGGTCTGAAAAATTTCATTTGAAGGTCTGACATATTTATTCCTACGGCTTTGTGTACTTATTGTTTTGAAATCAAGTTAACTTTTCTTTGTACTGTGTGATTGAACTAAGTTTTGGTCTGGAGCAAACTACTTTTCTTTTGGAGCATTTCTCAGCTAAAATGAGGATTTTATGTCCTCCGTGAAAATCTAGGGCACATTAAGCAACACCTTCATAAATAACTATAATATCTAAGACCAAAGCTCATAAACACACAGTTTAATTTGGAACTCTACTACAGTGTACGTAAAAAAGACTAATTTTGTGTCTGATAGCTTCAAGTTTAATCTAACGTTTTAGCCATTTTAGTCTACCCTGGTGTAACTGATGCACAGTTGGTCCTGACCATGAAGAAAGCCTTACAGACAGTAGAGGAAGCTTGACTCAGATGCATTTGTTTTAAGAGCTGTTTCAATATACACTAAGCATCAGACTCACAAATCTGAGACTGCAGGGGGCTTCAAAACCCACAAAATCTATATACCACACATTTTAGATATAGTTCAGATACAACTTAGCACATCGCTTTCATGGCTGTTACCGACTGGGGCAACTTCAGTCTTTATAGTCAGCTTCTCATTTTCACAGACATTTAAAAAAGTTTTTGTGTTAAGAATATAATTTAATAGCTTAAAATAGGCAATATCTGTTCAGAAAGGTGTTTTAAATTAATCAGTAGTGATTTCATTTCAAGTTGAAAAACTGAGATGAAAAGGCAAAGTTGGTATTTATTAACTTACCTACTCCCAAAATTCTGCAGTTCACATTTACTGCCTCCAATGCAGCCTCTACACACATCTTTAGAATTAATTCTAGTCTGTCTTCGTAAGTTTTAGGGTTGAGCTGAGTATACTTCTTAACTATTTCACCCTAAAAATTAGAAACAACAGAACATGCCCCAGAGAAATGTACTACTTCATGATGAAATTTCTCTTCAATTTAAACTACAGGTCAACTGGAAAATGGAGAGTCATAACTTCTCTCTTTAAAAAAAAAAATACAGATGCATGCCTTTAGATCTTGGTCCTACATGTTGTTCTGTGTAAGTTTCCTGACAACTCTGGTGCACAAGTTTGCAAGATTTGGCATTACATTTTGCTTCTGTAATCAACCTCCCCTGTCTGAAATACAATACGTATTTTAAGGAACACATGGATTGTGTAAGGAAGTATCACAGGAGCTACTGGAACTGTTGTTAGGAGTAAACTGATACAGCAATACACTTACATTCAATACTAAAAAAAAGTAAGAGAGTAGCAATTGCTAAAAGGGACAAAAAATCTATAGTAGTTTAAGAATAAAATGTTTCCAATTTGACTACATGAAAGTTTTGCATGGTGTCACAGACACTGCTATTTTACCAGCAGGAGGAGTGTCACAGAGAAATGCTAGATGTATGTTATGTGGGGGTGGGAGGGTCCAGAAGAAAGGGGTTATTTTCAACCCTAGAAGCCATGCAGTGGTAATGAACGCATTCATTATGCATGCCTGAATCTATGGGTATAAGGCACTAATCTTAATGTAATGTTAATATTGCAAGATTAGGCCAGGAAACTACACAAAATATGCTGCTTAGCAATGTTAGTCTCCCTATTATATCTCCAATACTCTACAATATATCTAAGTGGACATTAGATACCTAAGTGAGCGTTGTCTTAATACAACTAATCAAAAAGGAGCAACAAAGGCAGTCTATATGCAACATGGCTGAGTCACTGTTGCCAAACTAACTTTAAAAATTCCAAGACATTAATGGTTTGAGTATTAGATCCCACCATCTCAGCATCACATCAGCAATAGGGTTTGGAGATTATTATATTTAGTTTCCTCCTCACATTTGGTTTGGAGGGGCAGGAGAACCAGAGGAAGTTACTTTGGAAGACAAGGCTGCAGCAAACCTTATCAGAAGACAAAACAGCTTTTAAAAGGAGCTTTTGAAAACTCAATTATTTTCTTCATGAAAAGAAAACTACACCTTCAACTCTGCCATTTCCTGTTAAATGCTTCCATCTGTTGTGTAAATTTTTATTATGAAAGTCTGATCCTTTTCACTGTGATTTGCTAATATTTCAATGTTCATAAATGCCACCTGAAGTTACACTCTGCAACATGGACAGGATTTTTTAGAACTAATTTTTTTCCCAGGCTCTGCTGGTAGAAAATGTGGTGTCAGTTTTACTTCTAAAAAATTTACAAATTGCTTTGCTAGATGCTGGCTATTGCTCAAAATGGTTCAGTGTGTCCATTACATGGCTGCGTAAGGCACTGGGGAAGTAAAAAAGACTGCTCTTGGAGTCTTTCCCTTTTTTGCTTGACTTATAAAAAGTTGGAGGGTGAACTGAGTCATCTTTTACATGGAACCAACACATCAGAAAGTTGCCCTATTTTTCGAGGTCTGTATGACTTCCCACAGAGAGGCAGCAGCTACAACCATGCACCAGCGTATAGGCTTTGCCAGTTTAACAGCAGTCCCAGACAAGCAAACCAGCAGGCAAGTTGTATCAGGACTGTATGAGAGGTGCAAGAAGTGAGGGAAAATCTACTTTACCCCTCAGCAGCAAAAGCCAGTAGGACTGCTTTGTTTTGGAGCTTTTCTGCATCATAATCCCATAGTCCCACTGTATGAACAGAACCACAAAGCCCAATGGAGTCTGCAGAATATCTAAAAGCACAACAGAATATTTACCTTCATACTGACAATAGCTACTCGGAGATTTGTTCCACCTAGATCCACAGCCAGAGCACTCTGTGTCTCTAGAATATGATCAATATCTTGAGAGATATTATCTTTGACAGGAGGAAAACAGAATTTCTTTTGCAGTGGCTCTTTGAGGTCAATAGATTTAAGGAACTTCAAAATCCTTGGAACAGCATTACCATCTCCATATATTTTTGAGCTGTAATATGAAAAAAAAATCAATTTAATTGGAAATAACACTGCAATCTCTAAAGTTCTTTATATGACAGAAGGATGTAGCACTGTGTCATTACAAAATTATGATATGACTACTATAAAAATATTGCAGCTCACACTGCTTGAGTCTGTCATGGTAGATACTGTCAATAGTTTGAAGATCACACAACAGATTGTGCAAGTTTGGCATTAGCTCCATTTCTGGAATACGAAACATGGAATGTAGAATACTGGAAAGCTGATGATGCCAAAAAAAAAAAAAAAAGGAAAGAAACATTTAACAGCTTAATGAAAGGACCTACATAATAAAGCTGTAAAATTAGGGAAAGTTTATGTATATGTTACAAGTCCAGACAAGATGTACTTACACACAGGTGACAACTATGTAATAATGAACTGTACATTCGTGTCAGTTTTCAACTGACAGTTTATTACTCTTACATATTTTTGATTCTTGTCCTTAATTAGACAAATACTATCTCATGAAGTCTGTAAGAACTTCTATGTTAAAGAACTGAGACTGATGACTGTATGGCTGAACGCCAATGAAAAGCATCTTACTACAATCTTGCAGCTCCTCTAGAAGCTTGCACTCAGGACTCTCTACGTATCATGCCTGAGGTCAATCCAGCTATAAAGTAGTGTGTCCTTCAGGCACAGGTCAGAGGTAGGCAGACAAGAAGTTCTCCCCCATGTTGCTCCTGTGGAGCTCTCTTCATCATGCTAGTCTGAGCTAACACATCGATTTTGTCCTCATGACTTTCTGTTGGATGTTAAATTACTAGTTATAGCAAAACATTACTAGCAACATTTTGCTCTACAATTACTAATCTGCATACCAGACATTGCACTATGACTCTGAATGAGGTATGTGAAATAAAAAATAATTTGTAACCTCAGGTTAGTGCATTAAAAGCACTCCAATCAAATATGATGAATCACCTCAGGACTAAATGCTTTTTACTCTACCACTTTAACATCCCCTCCAATGAAGCAAGACAAATGTACTTACCATGGATACTGTTTACCAAACTGCAGCTGCAGAGCATGCAGAATCTTATCCTGTGTATCAGCATCACGAACATGAAGAACATTTTCACCTAGATGACAAAAGTTAACATAATAAGACAGGTCAGCTCAAATTACATTAGAGGAGAAGAAATGCTTCAGAAAGAAAGAAATAATTATTTTTGTTTCCTCTGAGCAAGAAAGACTCCAGCTAGATCAACATCACTCTTCACCAGTTCTGTGCCTCCCCTTGCTCCCAGTAAAGCAATGGTGACTCCTATGATACACTGTCATGCATTACAAAACACTAGCATGTACAATATTAGCCTTCAACAGAATTCTATTTTTAAATTAAAAATGCATGAATGAAAACAGGGGGTAAATGGCTATTTGTGTCCTATCTGCGAGATACCACAATACAGTTCCTTCCTGAAGTGGTGAAGAGTTTGTATTTTTTTAAGTGAAATTTTAATACATGTCAAACATCAAACTAGCTATAAAGGAAAACAATTAGTTCCCTATTCTGCTAAGCAGAATCCACTGCAAATGGTGATATATTTTAATTTGTCTATAGATAAAAGCCTCATTATCTTGCTTAAAACACACATGGAGGACTAACATGATACAGGAATAGCTAATGAAGCTTTGAAGTGGGTTAAAAATTATGTTGCACTGATACTACAAGATGGGATCTGTGAAGCATTCATTTCACTTTATCCTGTGGAAGAAAAAAACTCAGAACCATGAGGAAAGTAAAGTAGTTAAGCAAACACGGACCTGTTTCTCTTCCTGTCTGACGTGTCCCCAAGTTGATGACAGGTGTACCGAACGCTCCCACCTCTCTGACACCACAACTGCTGTTACCAATCATACAACCAGCATGAGCAACTAGCTGAATGAACTGGTCAAATGGGACATGCTTTACTGCCCGAAAATTGGGATGATGTTCAATGCCCTTCTTCCTCATCACCCGAACCATCTCTTTGCTTCCTACAGAAAAACAAGAGGTGAAATGATTCGAGTGCTGAACTGCAAAGTCCAAATGCAAAGGAGCTAATGGATGTCCATTGAGTTGGTTTTGTTCTCTTTTTATACTCATAGTGTAAGTTGCAGAGCTGGGCATGTAAGCCCAGGTTTGATCCCAAAATCCACTGCAAAAATATTTCTGTAGTTTTTAGTTAATTTAAGAGGCACTAATACTGCTTCTACATGTCACATGGTTTCCCTTCATCTTCCTCCCCACACTGAAAAGCTGAAATGTCCTTCAGCAACGTGAACATGGAGGTGCAGCAGATGCACACCTGATGCTGAAACCATCTAGCTATTTCCATGGGGCTGAAGGTTCTGGGATAAAAGCACTCCATAAGAACCAATGTATGCTTGAAAGACAATCTCTTATGTGTCCCGCTGTCATGAAGGTATTTTACTCACCGGCATCTACATTAGGGAATAGAACAAGTGTTCTCTTGTTGAAGGAGATGAGTGCATCTAGTGTCAGCTCAAACATCTTTATGGAATGTTTAATATCTGTGGTTACAGGATGTTGCAGAGCAACTATATAATCTCTGGTTTTGACATCTTCACCTGTCCAAATTGAACCCCCCAAAAAATTATTATTGGCATAGAATAGTAAGAGGAACGGAAGACATACTTTTCAAACTACCGATGCGAAAGCCTGAACAGTGAAGGCACTGAGTGGGCATGTAACAAATAAATTTCAAGGCTTGAATAAAACTCAAGGGAATAACAAGAGGATGTAGCTTGTTATTTGCCCCTCTAAGCAAGTCCATAGAGATGACAACCTAAACCCCAAAAAACTGTTAACTTGCAGGCGTACATCTAGTTGCAAGACTATACCAGGGTCAAAACCCTGCTCTCACACCAGTGTAAATCTGGAATAACATGAAACCCCTGAAGATGCTCAGGTTTTCTGTCAGTTGTCCATCCTCAATCAAAGACTTAATTCCTATTGCTTCAGTCATATTTGTTTTAGTACATTATTTATCTGCAAAATACTGACCTACAGATCCAAGGAGATTCCAGCTTCCAACTACACAGATTCATGTGCCATGTAAGAGATTACTTTGTCCAAGATAAAAAGCAAACACAAAACTCCATTGTTTACAGGAATTATTTGTATGTAAATGAGTATGAAACACCAAAAGCCTTTGGTGCGTGTTGCCCTGTTGCAGTGCAGTCCTCAAAAGAAGGTTCATAATATAAATTCTCTTTGTTGTTTTTTTCTTTTTTTACATTATCCCTGAACAGCTTTGATCCTATTTAAATACAACTTTCACAGCAAAATAACTGTCCATATAAGACTGTTCTGTTTTTAAATTGTTCCGCTCAGAGAAATTACACATTCAAGGAGTTATTTTTTTGATTTGGCAAAAGGACTAGATGTGTCTACTAGGACAGATTTGTAGCTTTCCAGCTATACCTGGCAGAACACAGAACAAAAGGAAAAGAAAACATAGCAAGAAATAAATACTAGATACTATTACCAAATATACTAGTTTTCTGAGAAGAAGCAGGTTGATGCCTGATAATCATCTCCAATTAAGCAAACTCAACCTTAGTAGCAAGAAGTCCGTCTTTCTTTTCTGTACTTTTTCAGAGCCCCTGGTCAACAGATGCCACAACCTAGTTACTGAGTTTGTCTAGCATTGAAAGTCAGATGAAAAACATAAAAAGTGGACTGCTCACCTAGCCACATGCGTATAATACTCATGTAGTCCTTATTTTTGGCAGAGAGAAGCTTGTCATATGAGGGACAGCCTGCTAATAGGATGCGGTCATGGTCTTCACACATGGCTATCAAATGCTGCTCTGCACTCCTTGTGCAGCACACGTGGTAATGGGCCAGCTTGGTTATAGCGTGTCGGATAGAGTCATCAATGGTCCCACTGACTTCCCCACCTTCAATGTGAAGAATGCGAATATTCATCAGAGCTGCAGACGTGGCCAAGGCCAAAGCATCAAATCTGTCCCCGTGAACGATCATTATGTCAGGTTTCAGGCGGTTCAGGACATCTGGTAACTTGACTAGTGCAAGGCCTACTGACTCCACCATAGCTGCCTCATCCTCCCCTCTCACAATGGTGTGCAATCTTGTATGAATATCGAAGTCATCTTGTTCAATCATACGATAGGTATTACTGAGGGTAAGAGGAAAAGCGTTAGCGTAAACACAACTGGGTTTTACAGCAACATAGCTTGACAAAGTAACTGCATATTAGAATCGTTGTACTGGGTTTGAACAAAGGCCCGTTTATTACAGCTCCTTCACTGAGGAAACTAGTTTTTAAGATATTGACAGAATGTTTTCATCCATATGTAGATCCTCCCTCATATTCCAAGCGTGAAGTTTTTTCTAGACACCTTTAATGAGGAGCTTTGCTGAACATGTTCTGGAAATCCTCAGAAATTAAAACTCTCCATTCAGGTGTTTGCAGAGCCTTTCAGAGAACAGATATGGCACGATTTTCTTTCAGGAAAGGTATGCTGACACCTCACCAATTATCAACTTTGCTGGACAAATGTATAAATACAACAGATAGGATGCAAAGTTGAGGCCTGTATGTTCAAGGAAAACATCCTGCAGCTCGCATCCATTTTTCAGATTCTGTATTTGAGCTGTATGAAGACTTATATACTCATAGATTTAAGCAACTGCTGCACAAAGATGCCTTAAGTTGAAACAGGCTTTTACACTACAGAGAAAAGGTTTTCCACCCATACTACCAGCTTCATTCCATAATGAGGAAGGTAAAACATTCCTTGAATACTGAGAATTGTTGTTTTTAACAGTTACGTATTTGAAATATGAAAGATCACACACCTCTGTAAGATTACCTGTCTTCCATATTCACTAAACCTGACCTAAGTAGTCTGCACACCCTGGCTGGAATAAGAGAGAAAAAACCCAGAAGTTTTCCAATTTTGTCTTCAACCCATCTGACACATTCATTGCCTTACTCAAAGGATTACACTTTTAAACTGGTTTAAATCAGATTTTCATTAAATCGACTCTGCTACTCACATCCTGCAAATGAAAATCTCACGATCTGCAAGTTGAACAAAGATAGCAAAGACTATAAAGTGCTACAGCTCAAGTAGAGAAGCAATCTCCATGTCACTGAAGAAAACCCTATCTATCTGTTCAATTCTGCTCACTGCTGTAACACACAGAATATACTCCTACAAATAACTTGACATGTAATTTTTTTTTAAAGGCAAATCCTTTTTATGTGACTGAGTGAAGCAGCTCAGATTTTTATAGCATAAACTGCATTACATTACCAACTCCATTTAGAATTACTCTTCACAGACCTGCCTTTTTCCCTACTATGTGCATTTATCTCAAAAAAAAAAACCAACTTTCTTCTCTTCTCCTATATTCCTTCCCTTCTAAAAAGTCAAAATCTAGGGAACAAACAAGACTCTGCATTTTTGGTGTTTCATTTCTTTTACTACCCTCCAAACATTTCAGTGAGAAACATTTCAGAGGATCACTATGTGAATTCTGCTGCTGTTGACTACCCTGCTCAAATCACTAGAATACATACATTTTGAGGACCCACTAATTCTCTAGGATCCCCCGATTAAGGAGTGCAGGGCTAGGTCCCGAAAAAAGACCCCAAGCAGTACCAGAGTTTAAGAATATTTACCACTAAGCAACTAACAGCAACAGCATCTGTCACATCAAAATCTCTATTGCTTTGTGCATTACAAATCATTTACATCAGACAGGTGCTAAACACCATGGAATTGGAAAAGTAGCATTTCATATTACTTTGCACAAGTCTTGCAGTCAGCAAAGCGTTCATGACTATACAAAAATCAGGGCCACATTTCTCCTCTTCAGCAAATGAAATGCTATTACCTTACTTCTCCAGTCAGATAGGATGTAATTCAGCATCCTAATCTGGCAAGAAGTTTGACTGGGTGTTATTTTTCGTTTTCTGGGTTTTTTGGCAGGTTTTTTTTTTGTGTTTTGTTTTTTTTTTTTTTTTTTGAATCAGGTTAGTTTTGTGGTGTTGAATTCACCTTTCCATGTTATTAGATGCAAACAAAGTCCGGTACAAAGGAAGGAATGGAGCACTATACTGAGAATGGGCAGCAGTGGAATCTCCTATCTTAGTAGTTTGAGATAATACAACTTCCTCACATTCTAACTTATGAAGGCCAAAATTTTTCATTGGAAAGTCCAAAAAGTGTCTTTACTTGAAGATATGCATAACGTTTTAGAAGTTCACTAATGCTGATATGCACAAGCCTTATGCTAAATGCTGATTTTTCTTACAAAGTAAGCATCTTCCTATTTATTCTACTTATTGGGCCCAATCTGGTAAATGCAGCTAGAGCAAAACCAACCAACGAACAACCACAAGCCCAACAAGAATGCTGTTCCTTCTGCCTTTTCCCCGGTAAACAGGTGAATGTTCACCTGGGATGTGGGAAGTCCTTTCAAAGCAAGGGATTTGGACCAAGACTTCCCATCCTGCCAAGGCAAGTGATCTGACTGCTTACCTATAGGGTATTATAGAGGGGACCCTAATCTCTCCTGCCAAACCATGCCTAGTATATCTATCAGTTATTCATTTTGTCAGAGACAACCACCCTTTCCTTCTTCCACAATCCTGGAAGTATTCCCATGGGATATGGAATATAAAGGTACTTTCTCCAATAACTATGCAAAGTGGAAGAGCTGCAACTTAAAATGAGTGAAGAGTATCTTTTCTCAGTGAAAATTAAAAACTGTAGAACATTTTCATTCAATAATCACCAGATTCTTAGGGAAATATGAATGAATTGAGTTTCACACTTCATATAGTCTCTGATCCTGTTGAAGATCTCAATTACAATGTTTACACAGAATTTTCTAAAATTCAAAGACTGAAAAAAATGCAGCAATAGACAATCTCAGAAGAGCTGCAAAATTAAATAAAATCTGAAAAAATACATGTAAAGTTTTGTCATGTACATTCATGATGACAAAGATTTTGTTACTCAACATTCATGATGTTACTGCTAAAACCCCAGAAACAGATTGGCAGAGATACAAAAGTTAACCTTACCCATAATCATCAATCAGGTGGGAACCAAGCACTACGACATCAAGCTCAAAGAACTGTGGTTCTGCCTTAATACCAAACATAATGGGAGCTAATTTTGAATAATCAGCACGGTTGCAAGTGGCAACACAAACACGAAGTTTGCGGTTATTTCCATTCTTCTCCATGACTTCCTTTTGTTTCTGTTTTGAAAGATTCTTGAAATACACTTCCTGAAATAATAGCGGGGGAAAGGAGGGTGGGGAAGAAGCAGCATTAATAATAATCTTTATAGCAGTAAATGGTACACTTCATAAACAGGATATACAAGTGCAGCCCAGAACTGTGGGCACATACTAACTCATCCATTGATAACAGACAACTGATACCTTACGGTACCTATCATTAGAAGATTTTAGAAAAGGTCAGATGTATTTTTTTGTCTTTAGTTAAAACTCACTTAAATATTGTTTATATAGAATTTTTATATAGTATCTATAGAAATAGAGGTATTAATTTTAAGTATTATGAAGTTCAATTATAATTAAGCTGTAAAATGACTTTTTCCTCTTCAGATGGAAACTTCTGTGTAAGTGGAAAAATTATTGATGCTTTAGTAAATGAAAGGAAAAAATCTCACATTCCAAAACCACAGAATGGAACAAACTGCTAAAAGATACATCCAGTGACAGACTCTGTGAACAAAAAGAGAAAGTTTTTGCCCGAGTCAATTTACGTGTCTGTTAAACACACTTTGCTGAGATAAAGCAAGTTAAACATTAACTTCTCAACCCTTCCATAATGTTTTGCAGGCCAAAGTAAATCAATATATTAAATAATACAGTATTAGGTTACAGTAAGACAACAACTTTTGGAGACAAGTAGTCAAATAAGGATGATGACTATCATTAGGCAACTTGGAGGCTATTAAAAAAAAAGGGTTTCTGACAATTGAAATGCCACAGAAACTCAGTATTTTTACAAGCAACATCAACAGTTACTGTAACATTTTCTCTAATCCAATTTTCCAGCTTCTTTAGTAGATGATTAAACTATGTAATCATTTTTAATGTTTACTTATCCTCTGCTTACCAGTTTGCCTTGCCGATTTTTGTAGTTGTTTTTTTTCCATTTAGCAATTGGAAAAAACATTTTAGATAAAAAGAAAAGCCTATTAAAAAAGGACACATGAACTCCCCCAAAATAAGCCAAATTTGCTCTCCCCCCCCAAATTGGTAGCAGAGGGTATTAGACCAGCTATTTATAAGTCTTTTGTTGTTCTCCTTCTGAAAATAACTGTATTTTGAGTAAGTACCATCCTTTTGGTATGAAATCTAACATTATGTCAGATTCTTACTCCAGTTTATTGGCAAGTAAACTTCTTCCAGATTAATGCACATCTCTGACCTCAACAGAGCAGTATCAATCTCCAGTGGTTTTGACAGCTAGGGAAGCTCTTTCCGGGCAGTTGCTATGGAAGCACAACAATATTGACATCCAAATTCACCGTCCTTTTATAGTACATTTAATTTTTTTCAGTACATTGTTAAAAGAAAGGCTATTGTGACATTTTACTCTCATGAAACTTACAAAATTCAGCAACTTGCCAAAGATTTCCTTGTTTTTAACACAGATGAGTTCTGGTTTTATCACACATAAGGAAACAATGTTTTAGCATTACAGTAATGTTAAGAGTGATCAGGAATCTATCCCAAGTTGTCAGATGTAAGAGACATTTCTTGTCTCCACTTGCAACCCATTATGGCTCTGCAAAACTATGACTGGCAGTGATGTTTTTTCTAGTTTAACTCCAACAACCATAATTTCTGAGAGAGTTATTTGCATTACCTTTCAGAATAAAACTGAATTGGCAAAAAGCAAAAACAGCTGCCATGGCTAAGTTCATTAGGAATGGCATTTCTCATTTACTCAAGAAAAGCAGCTATGGCTACACCAATCAACTTCAGTAGAACAGATGCAGCCTGGAATTTCAGCATTTGATTACTATCATGACAAATTAAGCTGTTCCATGGATTCAGCCATAAAGTAATAGATATTATTTGGTTTATGTTGAGCCTCTTCATTTGAATTTACATTTGAACCTTGCTTCAGAAGTAGTATGTTGATTAATCCCTGTTTTACACTTTCAGAGGGTCAGATGATAATCCTTCAGGCAAATTAGTTATTTCCTTCTGCTGAAAACATCTGCAGTTATGTGAGTATATGATGGCTGTTTTAATTTAATCTTGTCTTTCTTTTTGTCCAACAGGCTTGAAGTATTTTAAATTTATGTAAGAAATTCAGCACCTCATGCTGAAAACGTAGAGGGAGTACTTTGCAGGATTTTAGATGCTGTATAAAGGTAGCTCAGAAAGTATGTTACCCTGTATTACCGAGGGAAACCTGAAACAGGATTAGCTAGACCCAGATCTAACAGAACCACTGTTTTCTCATTTCTAAACCAACCTCTTTTTGGAGATGCTTCTGAGCAGGACATCCTGCCATTGCACATGTAATAACAGCCACTAATTCAAATAAAATCGTGCTCAAGAGGTGATGGCCAACTGTGACATCCCTATAAGCTTGTCTTTGAAACTGAATGAATAATGTTAGTATAATTAGAAGCACACCTCTCACAAGACTCTTCAAGTCAGCCACTGCTGCGTACATATTCTATACTATATAAAGTAGAGAAGCCAAAGTAAAAAGGCACAGAATAAGGAACTGACAAAGTCAGCTTACCGAAAGTCTGCTTACTCCATGTTACCTCCCTGAGCTAGAACCATCCCTTCCCTTCTGACAGGGCTCTTATCTTTTCATTTATGCAACGCAGGCTTTTAAGAAGCAGAATAGATTTCTGACCTCCTTGATCTTCAAGCAGTGTCTAAAATTATAGAACCCTTCAATCAAAATCCAGAAAATACTATCTCCTAAAATAGTTAGTCTGTACATTGTAAAAAATATAAAATCTCATGGTTCACCATAACTACAGATCTACCAGAATTGAATCGCTAGATTACACATCTTTCTGGCCACACACATCACATTTAATTACAGTTGCTATTGGCTTCAATAATGGTTTCTTGAAATAATTTTGGAGGTAGATGTGGAGATACTTCAAACACATATGAACTGACCAGAATCAAAAGCAATTCATGCTATTTGTGCATTTCAACATCTGTTAACATTACGTTTCAGGAAGCCTGAAAGCACAATTATTTTTAGTACTGCCTGAAACCTCTGTAAGACAATAGTTGCAAAAAGTTGCAAGCCACACATGGGCATTGATGCAGACACAGTTTTTCTATTGCTGTCAATTTTAACAGGTTATTCTGAAGAACCAAAATATTTACCCTGTCAAAAGGGCTGATAACAATCCAATATAACTGTTAACTACATGGGAAAATTTAGCACTAAACCAGCTTATTGTTTTTCAGGTTAAGTGGGATGATGATTTCTAAAGAAACATGTGATGTGTTGCTAAAGAGAAGTCTATCTTGACTCCAACCTATTCTGAGCCTATAAATGCAAAAATAATTCTGTGTTTTCAGATAGCATTCACTGTCAACAATTAATGGCAAAGTCCCTTCAACCATTAATAATGGTTGGTTAACAACCATTATTCCTTCAAGCAGAGCTGTAATGTCGTAGCTACATAATTTTGCTACCACTGTGATTTCAAAATTTATTAACAGGTTTTGCAGGCTAATGATCTCTTTTCAGAACTGTTCACTGAAATTCTTTTAAATAATTAGTCACTAGCAGTTGCCTCTCAGTTTCTAGGTATTTCGTGATACACCGAGTTTGACCTACACAGCCTTCTTCAGACTGGGATCTTCCTGTTCCAAGGTCTACCTCTTCCACCTTGCTGGGACTAGTCATCTTCAGCAGAAAGTCACAGGATGGTCTGGGTTGTAACGGACCTACAGATCAGCTGGTTCCACAGGCAGGGACACCTTCCACTAGACCAGGTTGCTCAAAGCCCCGTCCAACCTGGCCTTGAGCACTGCCAGGGAGAGGTCATCCACAGCTTCTCTGGGCAGCCTGTGCCAGTGCCTCACCACCCTCAGAGTAAAGAATTTCTTACATCTAACCTAAATCTACCCTCTTTTAGTTTAAAGCCATTACCCCTTGTCCTATCACGACATGCCCTTGTAAAAAGTCCCTCTCCAGCTTTCTGGTAGGAAATAAAACAGTGCTTCATAAAGGACACCTTGAAATAATTAATCTCTACTTGTTTTGGTCTAGTCCTCTTCCATATGCCAACTCCAGGCTTTCAGACTACTAGAGGTTAAAGGATTTTTTAAGACTGGGGAATTCTGGGACGGATTTTACAGCAACCAAGTAGCTACTATTTCTGTTAGCAGTCTCAAGTGCATGAGACACCCTTTTATCAGTGTGATATATGTAACAAATGATACCACCCGTATATTCTGCATTCACATGTCTAAACCGATGATTTTCAAACTCAGAGCCTCTTTGCGATCTCTACACTCTGCATATGCCTGTGTGCTTGTGGAGTCACGCCATCTCCCCACTTGCTTCACTGTGTGGTATGCACATAGGCTGTCGTGCCCCAAACTCTTCCCGCACCATGTGCTAATACAAGTATTCACGCCGCCCTTCTTTACGCAGGGAGCCACTGCTGCCGCGTCAGCCGTACGCCCGCACACCCAGGGCCTGCTCCCGCGGCCCTGCGCAGGTGACCGTACGCACTGTCTGGTCTTTCAGCAAACTCCGCAAACACATTCGTGCCAGTGGACAAAGCATTCTAGCTGTCACCCTGCGTGTTTGTTTCCCGCACCACCCTGGGCACACGCCACCCCACGCCGAGGCGGGACACCAGCCCCACCACCCCCCCCCGCGAACGGGACCACCACCCTCTTCGCTGTCCTCCTTCCCCGCGCGCCTCTGGCACCTCTCCACACGCAGGCATCCACGGCCCCGGCGCAGG